AACATTTTTTTCTGAAGAATTTTATTTCAGGATTTAGTGACTAAAGCACTGGGAGTCTCTTGCTCATTAAATAGCAAGTGCGTGAAGTCTTTTACTTAGTGGCTGTGATACTGTCTTTTGAAAACCAGAGCTTGTAAGTAAGTTATTTCCAACTTTTACTTCCCTTATCTGAAGGAGAGTTAAGGTGTACAGCTTTTTTAAATGGCATATCACAACAGCTGAAGCAATAATTAGAGGAAGTTGTAAAACAATTAAATCAATGTAGTATGAGTAAATATAGTAAGGATAAACTTCATAGTTGCTGTAAAGAGAAATTGTGTCTCTTTAATCAGAACTCTTTGCCTTTCTCAACGAAATAGTTGTTGAAGGCAATAGAATGTATTTTCAAAAACTTCTTTGAAAAATTCTTCATAAAAGGCTTTTAAGAAAAACAGAAGTCTTGGAAAGGATATCTTATAGCAGGTCTGTTCTCACAGGTCCGCATGGCAACCATTTCACAAAGGGTTGTGGAAGAGGGACATATCCCTCATATTGGAAGTATGACCCTGTCTTGCGTCATATAGTCAGGCTGAGCTTGCAACACAGGGAAGGATACAAATTAGCTCACTTGTTCTCAAGTTTATTCAAAAAGGCCAAATGGTAATTTATGCTACTTTAATCAATGATGTAGAAGAAAATGTAATATACTTACTGATAAAGATTACACCCAGAGTGGGGAATAGGAAAGAATGAAGAAGACAGGCCAGAATACTTAGAACAAGTAAAATAGTAGTGTACCCATCCCTACCCTGCCCTTGCATTCTGGAAGACACTCCATCTACAGAACCCTTGGCTGGTGAATCAGCTGAATGTGAACTCCCAATGTAATGCTGTGGCTGAAAGAGTTAATGTGACTCTTAGACACATAAACCGAGGATGCAAAAGATGAATTTACAGACTCATATGAGACTGTTGTGCTTGGCACAGGTCTGTTTGCTATGTCATGTTGGACGATAATCATAACTGGAAAGGGTACTGAGGATGAATCTGAAGTTTCAAAGAACAGAGAAAATGATTGAAAGTTTGTAAAATGTGTCCTCTAATGAGTACTTCAAAAACCTTGATCTTTTCTCATCAGAAAGAGGCTAAAGGCTGGCCTGAGCAAAGTCTGTGCTTGCCCACACAAGCAATGAGAACTGGATAATAAAGGACTTGCAAACATAGGAATAATAAATTAAAATGGATGGAACTTTAAACTGGACACATTCATAGCAGAAATAAATAGCCATTTGTTTAACTCCAAAGGTCATTAACCTTTGGAACAGTTTACCAAGAGCTGTTGTATGCTTTTCATCACTGAAATCTGTAAATGAAGATTAAAGGCTTTTCTAAATGATATGTTAGAATAAACTGGGATTGACTGAAGGAACTTTTGTGTATTATAAAGAAAGTCAGAACAGATGAGCACAGTCAGCTCTTGTGGTTCTATTACCTGTTCATCTGATCTATAAACAGAGAGTTATATATTGCCATGTTGTAAAGTAGGTATGCTGATAACCAGCTGCCTGAAAGATCTGCTAAGTGAGTGGTGTTTAGAATACTGATTAGTGACCTGGAAAAACTGCCTGACAACAACAACAACAACAACAACAAAAAATGTCCTGAATGAGAATTTGGAGACAACATAAAAGACAGCTGAGATTGAAGGCAGTCAAGACTAAGAGACATCATAAATGCACACGAAATTGGCTTTTGTGGATGATGATTGCATAAATGATAGGATAGAAAAGAAACAATGTCATTATATAAATTGATGGTACTTTCTTGTTTTGAATGCTGCATTCACTGCTCTTCAAATGAAGTACAGAAAGAATAAAAATTTCTGAAGATGAGAAAACAAAATAATGAGATGATTAGGGATCATTTTGGATTAAGCCTAAGATGAAGTGTAGATATACAGCTGTTGTGCTGTGACTTTGAGAGCTGTGTGTTATGGTGGTTCCTTGCATTTCTGTCAAACTCGAAGTTATTATCCCACTGTAAAATCAGGATATTGGGCTAGTCCACGTAGCGGTCTGATTAAACATGGTGGAATCTGCGTTTCTATTATTTCTACACTATATGAGGCTTCCAAGGCAATAAATGTATTGTCAATCTTTGCAAGAAAGTATAAACCAAAAAGAAAAATTGAATATATTGATTTATTCATAGTTTGTGATACTAATTTTTCAAATACCTCAGAACTTCTGTATAATACAGTGCTTGTGTTTTTTCACAGAATATAGAACCAATAGTGCAATTTAAACATAAAAATTCAGAATGTCTTTTGAAAGTTCAGCCTTAAATATTCTTTGACTTCCTAACCTTAATTTTAAAGTTGATCATACTACCTTGTTTGTTATAGAAATATCAAATCTACCAAGTCACACCGAGTGCTATATTCTTTGTCTTCTATCCTCATTTATATTCAGATGTTAGGTGCTAAGTGCAGTGTCTGATAAGACTATGCGAGTTCCATAATGTTTGTAAATGAAAAAGAAACTTAAAGCCAGGAATTTGCATTTTCCCCTTACTGTGCTAAGGACCTGTAATTACCATAGTGTTAGTTGATTCTGAATTCTCCAGTATCATTAAGCCAATGTTCCTGCAAAGCAAGTACATTTGGAAATGCGAGAATGATTGTGAGCTAAATTGAAAAAGATATTTATTGAAAGCTTTATATCAGAAATATTTCCAAAATTCCTTATGTGTGGACTGAAAGCCTTGCTACTTTAGTTTTAATTCTGCTATTAAGAGCTACAGAATTGGTAGCAAAAAAAGCCAACTTCAATTGTCTGTACTGACCTGCATTCAGTTGTTATTGTGCTAAAATTCTGATTGACGTTTATAGATCCTACAAGAATAGGCTTGTATCTGTCTCTCTGCATTCTCTGCCTATGTCTTGAAGCTATTTCTTTTCCCCAAGGTTTTTCATTAACTTTTTAAATTAATACTGTACACAAATCAAGTTCCCTCCCAGAAAAACTAATAGATGTACAAAGCTTACCATGATGGAAAAAAATGTCTAAAGTATCTGTTCTTTGTATACTGGATCTTTAAGGCAAAAGAGAAGCCTAGGAAATTACAAGTTTTTTGGTTGTAACTTACAGTGCATTTCCGATGGCAACTGCTTTTCAAATATTACTCTGAGTAATAGCTCAAGGTGCTTTAAGTTATGCAATGAGAGTGTATATCACAGTGGGAGTCCTTGTAAATACAATATGATGTCATGTTAGTAGAGCTGAAAAGCTGAATCTGCTGTTTGCATTTACCAGAAGCAAAAACTGTGAATCAGAGAGCGGTATATTCTTTCAGGTAATTTACTATTTCTATTAGACATTTTGGAGGTGAGGAGATTCTTATTTTCTTGAAAGACATTCTTAAATGAATAATTTTTAAAAGGTAAATAATTTGAAGGTTGTTAAAGTAAATAAATAACTCTTTTATCACTGATCTATCCAGTACTTTGTTTGCCAAAGTATTAAAATGCTCAGGACAGGTGTAACAGATTGGATGAATTCCTGTTTTGTTCTGAGTTGAAAATTCTTTGGAATTATAAACTGTGGAGCGATGTATTGGCATTATCATTACAAGTAACATTACTGGACTTAAGAGCATCTTAAAGAAATCAGACATGAATGCATTTTAAATATGGTGAAAGTTTTTATATTTAATTTTGTCTAGTGTGGTTGAAAAACAAAATTTTGGTTTTTTTGTGTGTTTCAGGATTTTGCTCTTAAGGATATCCAAAACTGTGGAAAGAAGCCATGTAACAGCACCATGGATGTAAAGTTAACACGTTGATTGGGCGTTCTCTTGAAAACCTTTCAAAAATGGCTTCATTTAGATTTTGAGTATATTTATCTGAGCTGTCTAGCTCACCTTGTTAATAAACCAATGAAAGATTTTAATAAACTTGGATTACAAGGGATGCAAATTGTTTGTATGCACATCTGTACATATGTAGACATTGAGTTTATTAGTAAACTGTTACCTTAATGCACTATTTTGAATTGGTGACAGATGGCAGTAATTAAGAATTTAATCTTTCTTTTTTTTAGTGGTTTCAATTTCTGACTAAAAGAGTTTTAATTAAAAAAAACTAAAATATATGCATTTGCTTTCTAAAACTTTTAATTTATTTTCAAAAACAATGTCATCTTTTTTCTAGGGAATACTAGAAATTGTTCCCAATATCATTTTAAGATGCAGAAAGGAATTTCAGGGACCCGATATGTCACTGATTAATTTTATTCTGTGACTACTGAAGACATAAAAAATATGTATCTTTTTAAAAGAACTATTTTACACATGACAAGTAAACATTTACTTATTTATTCTTTATTTATAAATTAACAGGCATTATGTCTGTATTTTTAATTTGAGATGGAACCAACTTGCTCATTCACTTGATGATAATACATGTTTATCATCTTGTTTCCCACACGATATTGGTTAGTCTGCCCAAATCTATGTTCAGGCAGTCAGTTATCTAAGTGCCTTTTTTAAATGGGATTGAAAAAAAGAGCAGACACTTTCTGAGGATGTACATTTTCACTAGAAAATTGATCTCTCTTACCCAGTAGAAAATAGAGTAAAAATGGATCAGGTGCCCTCTTGATATAGATTCTCTGTAACTTCATTAAAGTTAATGACATTTATGCCAACTGAAAATGTACTCTCACAGAAATTAATTCGTCTGGTAAGTACTTATTTCAACTATTTTACATTCACCAAGTTCACAGCCATATTCCTATTTATTTGAGTGTAAGTGGAGAATTCAATCCATTGGATTAAATTGTCCAAATCTTACTGAGGCAAAGCAGTGAAGTCAAGAGTATTTTACCTGCAGGAATTAAAAATACAGATTTAGCTTTTTTCCCCCTTCTCTGGCATTTAATACTATAACACAGTGACCTATTCAACCTAGGATAGTGTAGATATTAACATCCAAAGTGTGGCACAGCTCAAACTTTAAATAATTATCTGGTAATGAAAGACAAATTTGGTTGTTCATGGTTACTTCTTCTTACAGTGGTTTCTGTACCAGCCCCATGCCTTACAGGGTTCCCTGTACAACAGAGAAGAATTTCCTGACATTTACGTCTGAAATGGGCAACATTATACAAAATTGGATTGACAGCTGAGTTGGCAAAAGTGAATAACACTATCCAGAAGAAAACTGATGGCAAAATATTTAAATCTTGTTTGTCTTTCTGGACTAAAATTAAAAAAATAATTATTATAATTGGGCTCCACATGATAAAGAAAGAGATCATCAACAAAAAGAGGGCTCGAAATAGTTTGTAGTCTTGCTGGGAAACACGAATCTGATGACTTTCTGAGTAGGCTAAACCAGCATTTAAACTCCTTCTTGATGCTTTTGTAATCTGCAGTGAAAGAGATGAAAGAAGAATTATTAACACATTTTTACAAGTGCAAAAGTAAATCTTGGCACATGATGTTTCTGTTTTGAAAAGTGACTACAAAAAAGGCATTGCAGAATTCCATTCTTCCTTCTTGTCAATGTTTCCATTTCAAACATTCTCACTTTATTAACATTTTTTTTCCTCTCAGCTGTGAACTCATCTCAGTATTAGTCAAACTGGTTGTTCTCCTCATGGCTCTCTACCAGCCATAAATACTTTTCAGCATAAAACAGAATCTTAATTACTCATGAAATCCCATTAACTTCAAATTATGACCTCATTTGTTCTACCTAAATAAACCCATTGATTTTTTTCACAAATGCAAACTGGAACATAGTTAACAATCCTGGTGATGCGCAAGAAGGAATGCAATCTAATTCTTTTGTGGCCATGCTGATATTATAATGTAGGTATTAGAAGCAGCAGGAACTTATTACAGTAACTAATTCATTATACATGTTAAGTTTGAATGGAATTTTACGTTGTTTTGTGTAAACTTCTAGATTTTCAGTCAGTAATCAGAATTGCCTTCTACGAACTAACCTGAAATCTTAGGGATCCTTTTGTCACTATGAAAATCTATGTCTTGTAAAAGTACTGTCTGATATAATACACCAGACTATGGGTAGCTTGGGACTCTAGCATTCATGGGTGTGAATCATCTGTCATTCAGGGAGAATATTGAATCCCAATGGCTTGCAGAAAACTCTAAATCTCATGCTCTGTATCCCTGTCTTCACTGAAGTTCGCATAGCACAGTAAGGCTTTGCTTCATTCACATATCTGAGGCAAATTAAATAAAACCTAAATATTTAGCAAACAAACATTTAGGCTAAATAATTGAGATGCGATTTCACACCACCACCACCACCCCCCCAATGGGTAAAGAAGGGGTACTATCAAAAGCCTGGATCGATTTGGTGGCTAAGTAGGAAAGTCAAAAGTCGTAAGACTCTTCCTGCTACTTTTATGTGCGACATTTCCCTTTAGCAATAACAAAAGGAAGGATAACTCTAATACTAGTAATACTTACTAGTTTCCTGGTTCAGGTAAGGTTGAAAATGGTTATATATATTGAGTAATTTGTCATTCTTTCTGCAGTTTTCTGAATTTGTCACAGAGATAGATGGCCTAGAATCAATATTCATTAAGAACCTAGACATCTACCAAATATTTCAACAGAATGCAGGTGTATAGATCAAAACCCATGATCCAAAAATGGACTTCTCAGCAGCTGCTGAGCCTGAGAAGGGGACAGACTCACTAGCTGCTTCCCCGATTTAAAAGGGGCAGAGAATTGATGTTTTGAACATGTAAAACTATTCCAGCCTGATGATCTTCTGCTACAGCAGAAGATCCCACTTGGGATCCAGAAACTAGGCTAACTCCTCCATATAATCCAATCCAAGAGTTGTTCTCAGAAAGCACCTAACCTGCCTCAGCGAGAATGAAGGTTTCATAAAATACAAAGGACTAATAATATCCACTTCTAATATAAAAGTGGGGAAAAGTGGGAAAACCAAGTTCTGTACCCTCTTCAGCCTCCACTGTTCAAAATGGCTACAGAATGTCCTCATCAGGTTCTTTTGTATCTGTCCCATACAGGTACCCTCCATCTTTCCTGCTGGAGCTGCACAGCCTAGAATTAAGAATGCAAGAATCACCAGGACTGCAGGAAATAAGATGCAACTGCATCTTAAGGAAGTGCTCAACTGAAATGGGGTGGCAGTTTTGGATCCCTTTTTGGTCTGCCTAGTATAAGGAATCCAGATACCTAATGTGGGCATCTGGACCACACTCCGAAAACCAGGAACTTAGAAGTCACGTATATACAAGTACATAACTTACAGAACATGAATGTCTTTACTAGTTCTAGCCTCTTATCTCAGTCTTGCCTGAAAGGGGGAACAGTGCAAAAACAAATAACTTCATTACAAATCATGGCTTCTAATCTGTCATCTTTGCCAGAGTTCTGGGAAGTGTTATGAAAAAATAATACTGTTTCAGATTAAACTGTGAAGTATACATTTGTAGAGTATATTTGTTAACAAATTTGAGGTCTTATATCTGTAGTGAATCTTCATCATCATAGGTGCTGTGTTATTTGAATGCTTTGAACTGCTTCCAGCAGCAGTGAGCATTGTACTCTGCGTGCACTGGCACCATGGAGCCTTCTCACCATGTGAGAGTGAATCTGCTCTCGGGAATGACTCAGGGATTAAGACATTCTCCAGCTGAGTTCTGGTTGCTTCCTGGAGAATTGTGAGAGAGAGAAGATTCAGTTATAACAGATGGGATCTTGCTATGGGCCTCGTTCCTTTTTCAGTTCAGGAAAAATGGTAACGCATCTTAGCATCTGTGTTATCAAAGTGGAAAAGAAATGTGAGCATGGCAGCATGGGGCTGTCTTGTAATCCAGTATTCCAAACACTTTTTTGGCCTCCTAGCTCCCTCTGTGCCATTGTGTTTTCTAAATTTACTTCTTGTAATCTGGAGTCTGCAAGGACAAGAGGAACACCGTCCCTGTCCCGCTCTCTGACCAAGGACTGTGCCATTCCTTGGCCTGCAGTTTTTTGCAGTTCTTTCAAAGGGCTCAGACTCCCCACTGAGTTATGGTTATGTTCTTTGGCTACAGCAAATATGAGGTTGCAAATAACAAGTGCTTTACTTCACTGGGAGAGGTTTACCTAATGCATTTACCTCAAGGTTACAATAAGCTTATAGAGCGTACAGAAACTAAGAGCTGATGATTTTGAGTTTAAGCCTGATCAATAGGCAAGTACAAGTAGAGCCCCAATTCAAGGTCCGAGCTTCAGGGAAACATCTACGTGCAGCTCTGGTGCATGCACCCACAGCCCCTTGGAGCTCAGCATTTCATCAGTTGATTTCCTGTTCAATAATCTGTGTATTTTGAGATTCTTTCCCAAAACTTATAATTTTCCTTTTATATAGTATGAGAAGTTTAATTACCTAATACCGGAGTCAAGAATCTTTTGGAGACAGTTCCGGAAAACTAGACGTTGGCAGCGCCTAGTTTGAAGATTTCTAGCTCTTTCTCATTCTGTGTTTGGAAGAGGAAGGGCTAGGAAATTAGATGTTTTAAAAGGAATTTAGGTAACTCGTATCATGCTTGGTAGAATATAGATTAAAACTCTGTAGCACCTGGTATCTTGGCCTACATTTCAGCAGTTAAACAACATCCATGCAGAAAGAAAGTGGAAGCAGAGTGTTTAATTTACAGTTTTTGTTCGCGAAGTCTGAAATTGTGGAAGAATAAGTGTAATCTAACAAGATCTGTGTACTAAACATACATGCAGAAAATCAGTAGATCTAGAAAGGGATGGATTTTTTATAGCCCTGCCTCTCTTCGCTTTCTTACAAATCCCTTGTGATTCTGGAATTTAGGCTCAAAGAAAGCACAATCTAGGTTTTAGTTATTTCAAATGCTTGACTTTTAGCATTTAGATCGACAGTCTTTAAATACAAACAGCAGACAAATGGAGAAGTGTATTAAATACAATACATAAATGAAGATAAACTTTGTGCTTTGTGTGGGGCTTCTGGCAATGTCCTGTTCAAGCATGTTTTCAGATGAAATGTACAGGCTGTTATGTACAGGTTGAAGTGCCTCATTTTACTGTGTATACCACCAATAGTTACCGTTTACTGAGCAATTGATGTTTATTCCCTTTAGGTGTATTTGTATTCAGTGACAAATGTTGTTGCCTAGTGAGTTACTGTATACTTCCCTTTGTTCTACAACAAAATTTAAAGGAAAAACATACCTGTAAGATTTTGGAATAACTGATGACAATGACTAATCCTGGTATTAGAAAGAAAACAATGGCAAAGGTCACATCCCAAACTATTTCTCCTGCAAAGCTGGGCCAAACCAAGGTGCAAATCTGAACCTCCTGTTTACAAAGAATAAAGAAGAAAATTAACATTGTACCGTTATTTTTTCCTTCAAAGTTGTCCTTATCTCCTTCTATGCCTACAGAGAAAATGGCTGCAAACTAAACCGAGCTTGTGAAAACTTTCTATTCAAAGACAGCATCAATTAATGTATTCCTTCATGGTTTCAAAAGCCCATACAACTACAAATAGATGTGTTGTACACAATCTAAATACTGCCATAAATTTCATATCATGTGCTAACGGCAACTTGAAAATTGAAACTTACAGACCTTCAACTTAATCATGTATCTGAGTGTCATGTTGGGTGCACTTTTGTACACATTTCAAAATACTAGGCAGCAAAATCTGTGCATGGCCATTTCGTCCCGAGGCTGCCGCATGTGCTGGGCAGCCACGCAGCTCTCCCAGGATGCCGACACCTCGGTAAGGGGGAAGATTACTGCAAAGGGGATTTCCGAGCTGCACACGGGAACGCAAAAAAAAA